TATTTAAGTCCCTACTATAAAAAGCAATTTACTCCACAGGATGGATTTACTATGGACTTACTCAGGACTTGACATACTGCTGAATCTCTGCATCTCACTGTAAGCGTTCTACCTATGAATCACTGCCACAATTTAAAATAATCTATGTATTCCAGTATAGATTATATTCACCAGCTGACCTGTGTTCTGTGCCTCGGTTGAGACCAAAGGACCGATTCCGAATTAGCTATATTATCTGTGTAATAGACAATTAATTTCCAATAGTAATAAACCAGAAAAAAATTAAATTATCTATGTGTATATGCAAAGTGTCCATATATGCCTATATGTAACACGAGACCTAAATCATTCTCCTACAAAGGAAGCAAGAGTGGAATGTTAATAAGTATTAGGTAGCAGAACAAATTGTATGAAATTAAATTCTTCCATAGGAAGACAAAAATAAGTGATCAAAAAAATCCCAACAGATAACATGTACAACATGACTTTGGGCAGCTGAAGTTCCTTTAAATTGACACTACTGCATTCTAAAAAAGCCAGCCAAGTGGGTTTGACTTAAATCATTTGACATCAATTGAAGAGATCAGAGTCCATCTTCTAGCAGACACACATTAGCTGACAGGGAGTAAACCACAACTCTATTAACATGAATTCTATCATTCATGACAGTCTTTGCGATGACTTATCACACTTTACAAAGAATTTCAGCGGAGAAAACATTCAAAGGATGCAGTCCAAGGCTGTTGAAATGAGCTGTGGCCTTCCCTCTGAGCAGCCAGTCTTTCATGGACAGATAAGGTTACTTACCAGTAGGTAGGGACTTTTGGGCTCTGCTGTTTATATGCACACCAAAAATACAAATGTGCTTATATGTAATTTTTCACATCTCCTTGCTGAAGTCTTTACTACGTCTAAAATGTCTTTCACTGGGGAAAAACAAATCTACTCTCTTCCCAGACGTCATTTGATATCTCAGAAACAAAACATAAAGGACTGAAGTTCAGATCTAGTGCTAAATTGAACAATCAAATTCTGTGAAAGCAGGCGTCACTGCTACTTCTACCAAATACAGCATGCCTAGAGAGTAAACTGCTGGTAGTTCACACTGATAATAAATGCCCAGTTGATATATTCCCAGCACAAGGAAGGTAACTCCTTAATAGCCTTTTCGATTTAAGTAGCACATCATGATCTTATTGTCTATTAGCCTTTGAAGATGACATCTGAAGCACTAACACGGTGCTATGGCCCTTTCAAGAGAAGATACTAAGAGATCTTTAGTTTTTAATATTAGTCTAATGCTACTACATTTTCCTATGATCCAGCCCAGTATGACAAAATTCTAGACAGAGATGGTCAAGGTGAGGAGAGACTTCTCCTCTTTCTTAAATATTACATGAAACAATTTCCAGATGCTTTTACATCCATGTATGTGCAAAACTTCAGCTATTTTGATGCCAAACCGCTCAATGGTAGTTTAATAACCAAGAACAATTCCTATTACATTTCTCTTAGTTACAGCCTCTTTTTCTTGACAAAGTGCTGAATAATATTGATTTGTCCTAAAGCAGGATCTTTGAGTTTCCTTTCTAAGGGTCTGAATAAATATTAATAGATTATTATAGAAGATGATGCTTCAAAACTTTCTTACTGCACATGCAAATTGTATTGGATATGATGAAAGAAGGAACTAAAAAAGGCCTCGTTCCACTTCAAATGGTAAGTAATTTAAAGGCTTGTCCCCTTCTGATTAACATCTTTTTGCATTCCCTCTTGAACCTTTTTTGTAGGCACAATTTTCCTTGTAACAGACATCTACTACTTGTGCTTAACCATAAAGAACAATATAGCCTGACTGGAACCTCTAGTCTTAGCACACATAAATAAATACAGTTTTAGGGGTAATATTAAGGCATCTATAAATACATATAGGTCAGTTACTAAACAAACACTCTCAGTCAATAGTGAATTTGATTTCAAATTAAAACAAATTCATTGTGCTCTTCAAGTACATTATGCTTGAACAAAAAATGTACAGAACTTTCTCATTTGGGGGGGTGTTGGTTTTATATTGCTTGATATGCAAATAACAAAACATTTATTATAATTACAATATATGAAAAAAAATTCAAACTCATGGTAGTATTCTGACACAAACTGGATGGAATTTATCTCTCAACTTCTATGCCTATCTCCTAGATATTCAAACCCCAGCAAGCCGCCAAAGGCTCCCTTTATTAGGCAGCAGAGGAAATAAATTCCTCAAGAGATTCATCTCATCTAACTCGGAAACTAATTTCAGGATGATGTGAATCATCCTCTGGAGATGCTCATTTCCTTCTATACGTTGGTACATACTTTTAGCAGAATTTAAATTTATGTAAAGCAGTGTACATATTGTTCAAAACACACAAAAACAATCCATCATAAAATGTGATGCAGTCTGTTTTTTCAAGAATTTGACTTGTTAGTGCAGTCATCTGCTATAGCAGCCGGACCTCATGAAGTATATAGTGGTTTGAAGCAGTGACCGTATAAATCTGTCCAAACCAGACCCTGATTTAATAGAGTTCAGATCAACTATGAAAATAGGAAGCTGGAACTATAAACCTCTGAGATATCAAAAGTCAACCAATCAAAGGTAATCATGCTAGCAACTTATTTTTTAATTCAGAAGCTCAAACCTGGATTTAATCAACAAGTATGAGTTCTTCTTACAAATGTTTACTATGAAAGATGGATGCAACGCGCCAGCTTTATTGCAGGCATAAAAGTAATTTCTACAGTTTAGCCTTATACATGTATTATGGATGGCAAAATGGACATGAATTTTGAGAAGAAAACACTAAATTACATAATGAGAACTGTGTAGTCCATTAACATGAATAATATGACAAAATCCAGGTATTAGGCAATAAATTTACATCTGCAGTCAGCTTCAATTATAAAAATAGCTTTTTTCTAGTACTGGATATATACCCACACGAACACGTACACCTAAAGTGAAAATTTAATATAAATACATAATAACAGCTCAATAAGGATGTGCAGTTATTAAAGATGACAAACGTGCAAAAACCCCTATCAGAAGTCCGGAGCATGTAAAAAGCTCTTGATTTAAGAGTTCCGGCATGTGAATGTCAGAGGTCAAAGCAATGAGCTATTAAAGATACTTTCACTTCCTCAGAAATAAAGTGCTGTCTTGGGCTCAGAGGGGAAAGGTTACAAAAGCTGTTTATCTGCCGCTCTGTTCCCATTCTTCCTTCTGTCAGGAAATCGTACATGCTCCTGCACCCCACGCAGGGTTAACCCCAGGTCATGGTCATTCCCCAAGTAAGTGCCCGGCTTTGATTTAAGTGCAAAGACCACACGGCTGCAGGTTGCATTTTCTCAAAATGCACATTTTGATGTAAAACTCAGCTCAGCTAAGCCTCGGTGGGATGTAAAAGCACAGACTCTTCACCACATTATTGCTAAAGGAAGAGTGAAGCCGCAGACACCAGTTTGCATAAATTAAAGGGGGTCATTAACAAAAAGAAAATGTTACTTTGTAGTAGTTAGAGCTAGAATAAGAATTACAAATATATGCCCGGAGCAGCATGTTTAACCAGTGGGAAACCTGCAGAGAGGGGAGAGAGGTTGTCCCCTCCCCAGGAGCCACAGGGCACGTTCAGGACAGACCGAGAGGAGCATATTAACCAAAGAAGCCACAGCACAAAGACTCTGGGAGACTGCAGAGACAGGGATACACCGCTGGGCTTCAGAGGTATGAGCAGAAAGAAATTACCCGGAGCTGGAAGGGACCCCAAAGTGTTTGCTTCAATTCAGGAAGCCACCAAACAGTTGCTGGATTAAGTGCAAAGCTGAAGGAAAGCACCTGCCTGCAGGCAAACAGTGGGAGGTTTATTTATATTTTATTTTTATTTTAAAATATTTTTATATATAATATATATTATATATAAATATAGGAAGTATATAAATATATATGATATACATATACACACATATATATTTATAATATGTGATCTGTCCCATTCTGAATTTTCTCAGTTTACAAAAGTTTTTCATTCTGGTTACTGTAGTAACAGAACCGAGCTTGAAACTTAAAAACCCTTCTGATTGCTGAAAGGGCTTATTATAGAGAAAAGATCTAGGAACTTGCAGCTCAAAGCTCTAGCTGGTCCAGGGAGTCATCATATGTAAATATTAGTTGTAATATGTATTAGTATTATTTATATACATTAGTTCCATATAATGTGCATACCCATATGTGCTGGTAATTTCATTTGAAAAATCACTATAATAAGAAAAAAAAACATTCGTTATGCTTCCCAAGCTACAGGTGACATATAAGAGTATACCCTTCTCTACAAAATGTCAGATGGCAGATCCGTGCCACAGTGTAAAATACCGTCGTTGATTTCTTAGGAGGTGGTGTTGAACTTCAGGTGAAAACTATGGAGAGGTTCAAATTTAGAATTGCTTCTGACAGAAGAGACTGGAAACAGCCTCATTTATACAACACTTTCACTGGCTTTCAATAAGGAAAGATATTCAATATTTCTGCATTATTTTTGACAGAAATCAAAACATCAAATAGTAAGAATATTAGAACATAAATATTAAGCAAACAATGCATTAACACAAACATTAGAACAGGAAAAAATTAGCAATGAGGTCTTCAGATAACTAGCCAGTTTTTTCTTTTTAACAACTTGAAGTTTTTAACAAAAAAATACATCAGCTTTATTCCCAAGGTTAGGTGGGGTTGCAGATATCACACAAGTACAGTATATAACCACAAGCAAAGTGCACACACTTTATCTGCAAGCCCAACAGTAGCTTCTACAGGCTATTGAGGACAGAACGTCACCCTCAGTTTCTGTGTTTTATTTGGTTCTAAAACCAGAACAATCTGTTATTAGTCATTTGATCATGAAAACTTCATGCTGTTTCAAGAAGTTTTAGAGTGAAGATTATTTTATAAGCTATTTTCTTACCAAATTTATCAGCTGAGTGTGGACGATGTCTTCCACCAGTATTGCAGTTTCATGGAGTGGCCTGCGAGCATCTCCTAAGGAAAACCTGAAAGAAAGAGGTTTATTGCAAGCTTATGAAAATAAGTTAAAAAGAAACCAGAAGCTCAACATGAATTGGCAATGTGCACTTGCAGCCCAGAAGGCCAACCGTATCCTGGGCTGCATCAAAAGAAGCGTGGCCAGCAGGTCGAGGGAGGGGATTCTCCCCCTCTACTCTGCCCTCCTGAGACCCCACCTGGCATCATTAAATGAGAAATTGTGACAACAGGCTTTTTGAAAGGCTTTATCTTCTCTAAGAAATACCAGAAGTTGCTCTTTACACCTGTCTTAGCTGCTAGTCATTCAGCTAAAGCCAGGATTGCTCCTTTGATCTAGGATAGGCAGTGGCCATCACCAGCCTATTAAAAGAGACTGCAGATGCTGCAGAAAATCTGAATGCTAGACCTTCAGTTTGTAGCACTTCTGACCCACTGCAGAGCCTGAGCATTTCCCATACAATGCCCCAAAAGCCCTATGAAACTATTCATCTGAAATTGGGATGGTGTGCTTCAGCTCCAGATCCAGGCAAAGTAGAGGGGCACTTAATTTGAAACATCTAAGACAGCCAGGCGGGGCTGAGAGATTTTTTCACTTGGTGGTGGCTGCACTCTTTCAGAGAGGCAGTTGAAGACCCAGTGAAAGTTTTTTAGTGTCCAAAATGACTGTAGGTTGCAACGAAACTCCACCCCTAATCAGTCCAGCTCAGTGAGTCTAGAGAGCTTAAGCCCTCCCTAAGCCCTACCTTTGTCTGGGTAGTTGAACTGCAGTCTAGAGAAAGGAAAAGGTCTCTTACTCTATGCGGCTTCCCTTCATCACATAAAGTGCAAAAAGATGCTGTTTGTTTTAGTTGACTACTGTCTGTTCTTTGCTTTTGAAACCTACGTTTTCAGTTCAGTCCCACATAGCAGGAATGGGGTATTCAAGGATTCTAGCTATGGGTCCTGTTTTTTTGTACATATATATATATATATATAAAAAAACCCTTCACAAATTTCTCTGCGCTACACACAACTTCAAAACAATTTCTTAATGTATCAACCATACTACCTATCCAAGAAGGATGCCATAAGTAAGTAACGCTGCTTTTGCCTATTTACTCTGTCATTTGTGTAAGTGATAGAGGATTCAAGAACATCAAAATCCTTCACTTTCTCTTATCTCAGTTCTTTTATTTACATAAAAAAGATGGGCACCTTTTTTTCCATGTTATGATTAACAGGATCAAGAACTGACTGAAGCATTCCCATAGTATACATAAAATTTTGTCCTGCTACCTATGCATGAAGGACCAGAGAAACATGACTGTGATGGGATAAAGAAGTGATAAGAGAGCTCTGGAAAAATGGGATACTCCTCTTGCCACATCAATTGCCGCATACATCCACACCTCTCTCCCTCCATGACAGCAAAAACCCTTGGTTTCCCAGAACTGCGGCAAACAACAGTCAGCCAGAGGCAGGGATAAATTACTTCAAAAAATTTGCTCAACTGACTTCCTACATCACCTATATTAGCGCAAGGCTGGTGGAGAGCTACAGTTGCTTGGACACCTGCACATCACAGCTTTCACAAAAGCTGAATCTCTCAATCAGAACAACTTAGCTCAGGTCTAGTGTCTGGTATTTGCACTCCAGCATCCTAAAACAGGCACAGTATTTTTGAAATAAAATTATCCATCAATGGAAGTCTCATGAAATCAAAGGCACTCATGAAATCAAAGTTATTAACCATTCTAAAGGTTTACTGGTTGCTCTACTTTTGGTCCCTCTGTATCTGACTTTTGGCTATGTTATTTTTAAAACTTAAAGCTGTTAATTCCAAAATGGTCTCAATGGGGCCGAATGTTGGCTCACTGAAAATATCTTATCATTACATGCATATCAAAATAAAAAAATGCTATTCCAGTCTTACATCATTTCAGTGAAAGACAACTTTCTATGCTTCCAAATATTTCCTCAGGGCATTTCTAGGAAAATGTTCTCTCTCCTCCTAAACCTGAGTTTTGGAAATAAGAAAAATGGTATAGTAAAACATACTCACTGTAAATGAAATAGCACAGGCTAAAAATAGCACTACAGTTTCTTATAAAAATAGTGAAATTTTATTTATAAGCAAGATTCAAATCTCCATAGGTGACTGAATATATCAATTATTTCCTTACAAAAACATTCTTCTATCCTGCAATAAAATAAAACATTTTACCTGTAAACAACTGAAGAGTTATATAGTAGGTTTTTTTTTTTCTTTTATCTAATAATGAAATTATATCCTGCATTCTTCAAACAGCATTTAAAATTCTAATGATATTAAATTTCAGCTTGATACATGTAAGAGCACAACAAGAACTACTCAGGCAACATCTGAGCATAACCCACTGTACTATACTAGCCATAGCATGAGGAAATAACACTCTATATTTGTTCCCTATCATTTGCCTCTCTTGTTGAGACTATCAGCATCTTAAAGAGATGGTCATGTTTTATAATGTGTTGTCCAACGTCTCTAAAATGAAAACAACCCCAATAATTTTTTCTCTATTATGCAGGAGTGCATATGTACATGAATTATAATGTCAGATACTTCCTAGGACTATAAGCACAGCAAACAATCCGGATCCTATTAAATATTTTATAAACTGCAAATACGTGGATATTGTATAGGAAATACATATAAAAATAGAAATATTTATTACTGTATTACACTGGAATGTAAAATAATATTAAAAATATCACAGATTCAAAACAAGTGCTCATATAGGATAAAACTTAAGTATTTCTTTTTTTTTTTAAAGTAAGGTGCATATGTAAGTTAACAGGAAAATTTACTTTTTTTCCTAATCACACAAGGTCTATAAAACCAAACGGAATTCAGTTATCACAACCATATTATGTTGTTCCTTCTTACTGGCCTTTTAATATTTAAAACTAATCTTTCTTTCTTTCTAAGACTTAAAATGCAAAAGAAAACAACTATGTAAGAGAGTAATAAACACCTGGTTGCCAGCATTCTCTCTTAAACATAAATTTATTTTGTTCACAGTTTTATTACCAAGCATTCCATATATACAAATGAAAGGTTTTTGGTTTTCTTTTCTGAAGAGAACGAAGTACAAGAACAAAACCCTGGTTTTGAGGCAGGATGCTGCCTGTGTGTTGAGATGCGACACACACACACACCCCCCCCCGCCTGCATCTAGAAATGTCTCACAAGGAACTATCAGCTCCCTAAACGGCACGAGAAGTAGAAGAGATGCAGTCACGATGCAGCACATTGTCTCCTCTCAGATCAGATATCAAATCTTTTTGTTCCATTCTGATGCAAAAGGATATGTCGGAGTTGATGCTGAAACGTGAAGACGACAGATGCAAAATCAACTGCACTACTTGATTACATCGAAAATCAAGTTCCAGATGCACCTACTTTCTTCCTCCCTCACTTACACCCTTTCTACCTTCAAAAGCTATTTCTGTCTCAGTTTGCCTTCACTGTTTTCCCACGTAACTTCTGCCAACTTCTTTCCCACACGCAGAAAACTAGATACTGGCATGGTGGTTTCAGCAAAAAGTAAAAACCACCACACCTACCCACAGACACTTCCTTTTCCTTTGCAATGGACACGGGATTTTTTAGACACTGAAAAAAATGTAAAGCTTTGATACTTGTTAATCGTATTTGTATAGCATTTGAGATGTTTCTCGACATCAGCTCTAGATTCTAACATGCTTATAGGATAATATTCTTTAAGATATCAAACACAACCTTTTTTTACCCCTTTCTGCTACCAGAGGTAATAATTACAAATGCACAAGCAGTTAAAGTAGTAAAATCTTCCATTTTCTTCTTCACTTTTGCCATTGTATTTTTCCGTAGCAGAATAAACACTAAACTAGGAGTCAAGGGGCTCAGATTTTTGCCAAGCTGCAGAATACAAGGTAGGTTAAGAACCAAAAGAAAACCCTAAAAAAAAAGGAAACCAAAATTTGGTGCCCTGGCTTTTGGGAACTGAAACGGAACTTGATGTTTTAATATAACTTATGAATTTCATTTCACGTGTGCTTTGCTTTTAAGAGGTCATTAGAGAGACTTTTAAAGAACCTTCCATTCTCTAGAAGTATAAATAAGTCTTCCTATGAAACATATAAAAATTCTGTTGAAAAGAGCCGTTTCCCCACAGGTAAATACTAAAGAGGAAATATATTAAAATATATCCGTAGCTGTGCATCAAAACAGTAAAACGATATGGAAGACTGTCCTGATAATAGAAGCATCTACCCATTAGACATGTCATATAACAACAAAGCCTTCTTAGAAGATCCAATTTCAAAGGTTTGTCTGTTTTAAGGAAACATTTTTACAAGGGGGTGATCAACTTACCCGGATTTTCACAGGAGGATTAAAATAGTAGCATGGAGAAAGAAAAGACTGCTGCAGCTCTTTTATTGTTTACTTTTAGCTTCTATTTCTAATTTATTTAAGTTCCTGTAATGATGTTTCCAGGCTCATCAAAAGGGGTAAATGTCCAAGCCACTAAATGCCTACACGAAATATCATAGCAAACTATGTGTAAACACACACGCACATACTTGGCACATGCTAAGGTACGACAGCTACTCATGGTGCAGAGACCTACATTTGTAAGAACCTCAAAATCTTGGGCAGCTACAGAAATAGATAAAGCACTTTCTTTGCTCCATTTCTTGGGGTTTTAAATGCCTGCAAAAGGTATTGGGCCAGGCACAGCACAGGCTTGCTTCAAAAACCCTGATGCAGAGCTCTCCAGGTGGCCAGACCACCAGGAGAGCAGACTTTTGGAGACAGAAAGCTGCTGCAATCTCCCATCCTCCACAGCCCTGAAAAGCTGTCCTGGCCAGAAAGGAAGTATAACCAGGGTGGCTGGGAGTGCGCTAAGCTAGAATAAATAGTTTCCCTTACTGGGGCTTCTATTGAGTTCATACCATAACAAAGCTGCCCCAACTCATGTGGAATTTACCACCTTGAATAAATTTG